ATTTGCTTTATCTTGTCGACATTTGGGTAATATTGATCACCACTTATCCACGATTTTGCGAATGAACAATACAATACCCAAGATGTTCAGACAACTTTTCTCTTGGAATAAAAAGTACAACGAATGGCGAGATAAAATAGAGTAACATAAATACAAACTTATATAGAATCAAAGTTTCAGAAAATATTTTCGACAAGTGTTTTTAAGAGTGCGGTGGACAAACGGATTTATCACTATATTACACCGTGAAAATCTGAAAATCACGAAAATTTCCAGTATGGTTCTAACTGTATGTCTCAGCCGAACCAGTTTAGGAAATGCTGCATGAAAATATTCACTAAAACTATTCGTGCCATTTCTTGGATAGCGCTTCTTTAAGATCTTTCACATTCTATTGTTTCTCAGTAGCATTTTTGATATTAAGGCTAGTTTATTCACTAAAGTTGGTAATTTCTAATTTCGAAGCAATATTACTATGATCTGCATACATAACGCGTAATTAACCAGCAGCTGTTTTTAAGAGTGCGGTGGACAAACGGATTTATCACTATATTTCACCGTGAAAATCTGAAAATCACTAAAATTTCCACTATGGTTCTAACTGTATATCGCAGCCGAACCAGTTTAAGAAATGCTGCACGAAAGTATTGATTGATACTATCGCATTGATAGTGGCGTTGCGGATGGCCACCTTGTTCATGAGTAAGAAAAAAAGACAGGTAAAACCAAAAATTGCGTTCTCTATTACGCACCATATTATTCTGCAGAATCGGAGCTCTTACTGAGGTTTAGAGAGTCAGTTTTTTAGCTAACCTTGTGCAGAATTGAATTCTCTACACGATAGGCATATGAAAAATGCCTACAAATGGGTTCCAAGCGGCCAAAAATGTCTTTTACTTGAAAGAAAACATTCTTACCAAGGTCATCTTTCCAGTGATTGCTTTCTACAAAATTCACTTTGGCGCAGAAGAATTCGACAAATACAATTTTTGATGTAGTTTTGACGCTCCTCGAACGAGACGTTGCTCAAAATTCGACGAAAAATGGCGGAGATATAAGTAAAATATCGCAAAGTTCATTATTTTCAAGGTTTTCGAAAAATTCGACTTTCCGAAACCAACATTGAAAAGTGGCTGGCTAAAGCTAATAGACTACAGTGATCATCGTGGTGATGCTAATTTAATATAAGGTAAGGCAAAATATGCGGTGTTCCAAAAACACTTATATATATATATACTCGATACACCCATAAAATAAGAAATCTCATCCAATAAAAATATCTTCATTTGAAAATTATAAGCGTTCTCTCTACGGAACTCATTTTCGTAAAACGGCCAAAATCGAATGCAAGTGAAGAATAGGCATCCGACAAAGAGGATATTGACCATGACGACGACAATATTCAAATGACTTATTCAAAAGTGGCAACAACTATTAAGTACGAATAATTTTCGGTGTATCTCTTCACGAGATATGAAATATAAGAGATAATGTTAAATTCAGTATGTACATCTTTTGGTTTTAGGTTACTCATGAACAGGGTTGCTAACCGTAGCGCTAGTATCAATGAGTTTTTCTGAAAAAACCAGAAAAACGCATTGCTACCAGCGCTGCGGTTGGCAATTCTGACCATGAAACATGGAAAAATCGACAGTTAGTGAGTTCTTACAAGCCCGGTCTCATCTCTAAATCAAACACCAACAGCACAGATGGAAATGATTTTTAATTTGAACCAAAAACATTACTCAAACAAAAAAGAATGAACACTTGTTCCATTCGCACTTGGAAAATATTATTTTTAAAATGTTATTATTCGAAACAGTTAATTTAAACGAAATAAAACAACAGCGTTATGATCATGAGAGATCTGAAAATAAACGATCAGTTGATAAACTAGCAGAAACAGAAACAACTCCAAATGGTTTGGCCGATGAATTTAACCAAACGCTCAGTGACCCTCTTGATCTACCAGTAAAACGGCCAAAATCGAATGCAAATGAAGAACAGGCATCCGACAAAGAGGATATTGACGATGACGACGACAACATTCAAATGACTTATTCAAAAGTGGCAACAACGTGTTGATAATGCTTAATTCAGTAGGTACATCTTTTGGTTTTAGGTTACTTATGAACAGGGTTGCCAACGGCAGCGCTAGTATCAATGAGTTTTTCTGAAAAAACCAGAAAAACGCATTGCTACCAGCGCTGCGGTTGGCAATTCTGACCATGAAACATGGAAAAATCATCGCCGTTTAAGCAAACATGTGACTGAAAACGAACTCGATTTATCCACCTTTCTTCATAAACAAACGATTGTTGCAAAACTAAAACAAGTTCAAAAAAACTAGTCAAATTGCAGGGCCGCTTTATTTTCCAATGGAAAGAACACCGACTGTAACAACGGACGCATACGATGTACGATTCAGTCTTGTCTCGGATGAACATCAAAATCAACAACATTTTAGTGAATTAGCATATTTTCTTGAACAATTTCTACCAAAATACTAAAAGATCCTTCAATAATGATCAGTATAGGACAGTAATTATCGGCAGAAACGTAACAACCTGGTGACAGCATAACGTTGATCCAGATCTTTTTGTTTTGTTCTAGTCGTTTTAGACTTTGTGATATGTTGTCTGCCTTTTTTCTGATTATTGGTTTCTTGATTTTCTTTAGCTTTTCTACAGTGTTTTAACCGGCTTTATGCAACATTTTACTGACGCTTTTTCAAGTGAGAATATGTGTTTCGCTTATTCAACAGTCTGTCAACCAAAATGTCCACTAACGAGTATTACCACTGCCGGTGGGACCGAGAAAGACAGACACTACTGCACTGCCAGTGCGCACGGAACTGTTTCAGACTACACACTGATATGAAGATTGAAGCGCTTCACTATCGACTAAGAAAAAGCTTTTTGAGAGCAAGACCACAGAATCACGTAACACTTAGCTTCTCATTCTTTCGCTCACTGACTATTTTATATAGACACTGACCAGACTAAATCTCCATCTGAATCATATTGGTGATGAAGGAGTACAACATCTGGCCAATACTCTGCAATAAAACAAAGTAGTTTCTCCTTTGTTCTCATTTTCAGTTTGTTATACGCTACTAATTAACATCGACTCTTACCACACTTTACATCGCAGAGAACCAAATCACTGTCTAGTAGTAATATTTTATGCATTGCAAAGAGATGTTTAAGTGATAGCCATCCTAGTATGTTGAGGGCTTTATCTCGTGAACTGAGACGCATAGCACCACTAACAGTCAGTGCAGCATCGTACTGTAGCTTTGCAATTGGTTTTAAGTAAGCTAATACAGTAGCCAAAGTAGTATTTGCAGTTTGAATTTCTGTCGTACATGCATAAATTACATCTGCAGAACTTATCACTGGCAAAATATACGATTTGTAGATCTGGTTGAGTGTAGTCGTATTTTTGAAACAGCGCATTAGGTATAATGTATATTTACACTTTTTTGTGACCTCGTATACATGTAAAGACCAGTCTAGCTTAGGTGTTAAGTGCAAGCCCAGATATTTATGTCGATCGACATACTGAATCACATTTCCATTCAATGATAGCTGAGGACGTGTAGGAACTTTGCCGAAAAACATTGCTACACATTTTTTTAAATTCAAGGGTAACTGCCAAAATTTGATCCACTCTAAAACATTTTCAAAATCTTGATTTAACATATTTTCATATATAAGAATATTGTTCGAGCTATGATACATTGACGTATCGTCCGCAAATAAACGAAGTTTTGACTGTTTATTATTACAGATATCGTCGATGAATATTAAAAATAGAAGTGGCCCTAAAATCAAGCCTTGAGGGCCCTCACGGTTTATGACAAGGAGTGATGAAGACTATCCATTTACAAGTGTAGTGCATTTTCGAGCAGTCAGATAACTCTGAAACCATTTTAAGAGCTCTGGACTCACGCCTTTTTGCTTTAGTTTGTATAAAAGTCCTTTATGCCATACTTTGTCGAAAGCTTTCGCAAAATCAAGAAATATAGCTGTAGTGAATTTATGAGAATCTAGATTTTCTTCGATTTCATGCACCAAATCAACCAACTGGTTAGTCGTAGAGTCCCCTTGAATGAAACCTGACTGTAACGGTGTCAGCAAGCAATGTTTTTTCAGATGTCTACAAAGCTTATTATAAACTAACCTTTCGAGGATCTTAGACATAGCAGGAAGAAGCGTGATGGGTCTGTGATTTGTAGGAAGAGTGATATCACCATCTTTAAAAAGTGGATGTATTAATCCCAGTTTCCATTTATCGGGAAAAACTCCTGATGAAAGAAAATAGTTACAAATGTGTTTTAAGTCTTCAGCAATAACAGGCCTAGCTTCTTTTAAAATTTTTGAACTTATGCCTTGCCTTGTAGCTTTACTAACATTAATCATTTTTAAACATTTTTCAACTTCCCTGGTGGTTACTGTAAAAAGATCTAATGTGGGAGTTGAGAGAGGGAGTTTATCAGGTGGAATATCTTTGTCAGCGTGGCAGTAGTCATGGTACATATGGCAGCAAAATGTTGATTAAAAACATGTGCTTTCATTTTGCCTTCAGACCATTTCTGATTATTTTGATCTCTCAGCTCAGAAATTTTTGAAGAGCGAGACCGTCGAAATAATGTTTTGGCTAAATTCCATCATGATTTTTTCGATGCGTTAGTTTGACGTATTTTTTGAAAATAATTTTCTTTCTCAACTTCACATGCCTTTTCAAATTCGATAGTTACTTTTTCGTACTTCGCTTTAGAAGATGCTGAGGAATTCGTTTGTTTTTGTTTTCGATATAAGCGTTTTTTCTTCGAGAAAGTTGTCTTAACTTCTGAGTAAACCATCCCTGGTCTAATGAAAATATGCGGACTGTTTTCGAGGGAAAACATTTATCTACTGCATTCATTACACAATTTTTTAACATTATTACTTTCTCATTCACACAGGTCGAGTTATAGAAGAGAATTGCAATAGTATTAAGCAATTTCACTAATTTGTAGCGAAAATAGTTCCAATCCATAGCAGAATAGTTATAGCTTTTACGTGTCAGTGGTGGTGATCGACTAGCGTCAGTTGAGAGCACAATTCTGACGATCTTATGGTCACGGTTCACACACAAAGCGTCCTCTACTTCTGCATTTTTTTATGAAGTTACTTGAAATAGTAAACACCAAGTGAAGCACCGTTTTCGTGCTCAGTTTGTAGAGAATTGAATGCTCTGTCTGATAGCATGACCGCATGTTTAGCGAAATGTTTTCTATGTGCCGAAGAATTGGTTTGATTCAAAAAAGGTGATAAAGTAGTACAACATCTGGCCAATGCTCGGCAATAAAACAAAGTAGTTTCTCCTTTGTTCTCATTTTCAGTTTGTTATACGCTACTAATTAATATCGACTCTTACCACACTTTACATCGCAGAGAACCAAATCACTGTCCAGATCTACTTTCGCGCCTCATTCACGGTGCGATCGCGCGGTCACTATCGCGATCGCACGTTTACGAATGTGTATCTCATACACTGTAATCTTGAATTAATTTCTAGTTTATGGAAAATCAACTGGAAAATCGCTGAAGAAAGGTGAATAAGTAGTTGGCTTAGAAATTCCTGGGTGAATTTCCAGTTTCTAGAAAATCGATCGAATTTCTATAAATAATTCCCAAGAATGTGGAAATCCATTTTATTTTCTAGAAAGTTGGAAACTCGAGGAGGAATTTCCAGTTTATAGAAATTCGAATTTATGGAAATTCAAAACG